GCCCCGTCCTTGCCCTCCGCGGCCCAACATACGTATTATGCCTTTCGTTCCCCCCGCTTGTTCGCGCCCGTTGTGGCCCCATGTGCATGCCCTTCGTGGCCCCGCTGTCGCCGTTTGTGGCCCCCTCAGTGTCCTACGTGGCCCAGTTGCTACCCTCACTGACCCCATCGTTGCATTCTGTGGCCCCGCATTCTCTGCCCTTCGTGGCCCCCGGCTCGTTCGCGCTCTTCGTGGCCCCATACGCATTCCCTTTGTGTCCCCGCTGTCGCCCTTCGTGGCCTACTTCGGGTCCTTCGTGGCCCTGCTGTCGTTCTCTCTCGCTCTCGCTTTCGCTCGTCGTCGTCGTCGTCGCCGTCGTCGTCGTCGTCGTCGTCGTCGTCGCCGTCGTCGTCGTCGTCATCGTCGTCGTCGTCGTGGTCGGTCCCCTGTCCGTCCCTCTTGGGATCGGGTCGACGGTCCGCGGCCGCCCCGCCGATCAGCGCTGCCGCTGGCCAGGCTGACGGTCCGCGGCCGCCCCGCCGCTTGCCGGGGCCCGGCCTGCAAGGAAGAAAGGTATACCCCCAAAAGGGGTCTGATCGATGACGAAGAGGGCGGGTATCGAGGGTATGGGAAATACGCGTCATTGGACACTCGAGCAGATAAGGGCGAACACTCTTAAAATGATTGTTGTTGTTGTTGTTGTTGAACATTATTACTTCTAAAGAATAATTATTGTTGGGACCCCTGGTGCGCGACCCCCCTCCAAAACCTAGGCCGCAGCTACATTTTCATCATTTTTTAGCGAAAGCTTCAGAAAAGTGAATTATTACCGGATCCGGTTGTTTTGTTGTACTCCGTTTTCCCTTGCAAAAAACACTATAAAATGAAAATTCTTGTTCTTACTTGATCAAATTGCAAGAATCCCTTGCAAAAAATAAGGTAAAGTGGACATTCGTGCGCGCAAGACGAAATCCTTCCAAAACCTTAGGTTTCGTAACGATTTTAACATAAAAACATCAAAAACCCAATGGTTTTTTAAGAAAAAATTGTCAAAATGTTCTTCCGCGCGCGCTGTCCGAATCCCACAAAACCAATGGTTTTTCAACATTTATGTTACATGAGCTCGCGCGAGCTACTTTTTCTTGTTCTAACATAATCAAATTTCAATAATCCCTTGCAAAAAATAAGGTAAAGTGGACATTCGCGCGCGCAAGACGAAATCCTTCCAGAACCTTAGGTTTCGTAACGATTTCAACATAAAAACATCAAAAACCCAATGGTTTTTCAAAAAAAAATGTCCAAATTTCATCCCGCGCGCGCTGTCCGACTCCCACAAAACCAATGGTTTTTCAACATTTATGTTACATAAGCTCGCGCGAGCTACTTTTTCTTGTTCTTACATAATCAAATTTCAACATCCCTTGCAAAAAAAAGTAAAGTGGACATTCGCGCGCGCAAGACCAACAAAAAACACGACGATCTCAGGAACTTGCCCCAAAAATGTGACCAACTCCGCTCTCTCTGTCTCTCTCTCTGTCTGCTCTCTGTCTCTCTCTCTGTCTGTCTGTGTCATGTATTGTATGTCACAATTGCAGGATGCTGGGCACACGCGCGCCCCGAATAAGTGACCAAGTTCTGTGGGTGTGTACCCCACGCCAGTGTAGTAGCCACGGTCGTCCGCACGCCACGAAGTGAAGTGTCCCAACGTCATAGGGCGGGAAGCTGGGTTTGGGTGGTCGCGAAGAGTCGTTTGGATATTTGGTAGAGCTTGAACTGCCCCCCCACGAAGTGGGGGTATTGTCTCGCGTCGCATGAAAACCCTGGCACTGGTGAGAACACTGAGCGTTCGGGTAAAATGATTGTTGTTGTTGTTGTTGTTGTTGTTGTTGTTGTTGTTGTTGTTGTTGTTGTTGTTGTTGAATGCTCATATCTGAAGAATAATTCTTGTTGATCCCCCCCCACCGGTGCATACTGTTTTTTCCCCAACCATTTTGTGGTGTTGGGTCCTCATTTTGCAGAGACGTCGCCCCGCGTTCCTTCTCCTCCTCTCCTCCTCTCCTCTCCTCCTCCCCCTCCTCCCCCCTTCTCCCTGCGTTTCACCCACCCAGTACAGCGTTTCGTGGCCCCATAGGGAGCTCCACCGAAGGCCCCGGTGGCAGCGTTCGCATGGCGGCCCCAGTGGCAGCGTTCGCATGGCGGCCCGCCCCATTTCGGCACACCCCTCACGAGGATCGTGGCCCCATAGGGAGCTCCACCGAAGGCGCCAGTGGCAGCGTTCGCATGGCGGCCCGGACCATTTCGGCACACCCCTCACGAGGATCGTGGCCCCATAGGGAGCTCCACCGAAGGCCCCAGTGGCAGCGTTCGCATGGCGGCCCTGCCCCATTTCGGCACACCCCTCACGAGGATCGTGGCCCCATAGGGAGCTCCACCGAAGGCCCCAGTGGCAGCGTTCGCATGGTGGCCCCGCCCCAGTGGCGCCGAGCCCTTTCGTGGCACACCTCATTCCTTGCAGTACGTCTCTAATGCATTCGATGCCTCTTGGGAGTTCATTGGAGACCCTTTCGGAACCGTGCCGCGGCTCTTCGGTTTTTTCCCAACCATCCTGTGGTGCTGGGTCCTCGTTTTGAAGAGACGGTCCCCGCGTTCCTCCTCCTCTCCTCCTCCTCTCCTCCTCCTCCTCCTCCCCCTCCTCCTCCTTGCGTTTCACCCACCCAGTACAGCGTTTCGTGGCCCCATAGGGAGCTCCACCGAAGGCCCCAGTGGCAGCGTTCGCATGGCGGCCCCGCCCCATTGCGGCACACCCCTCACGAGGATCGTGGCCCCATAGGGAGCTCCACCGAGGGCCCCAGTGGCAGCGTTCGCATGGCGGCCCCGCCCCATTTTGGCGCACCCCTCACGAGGATCGTGGCCCCATAGGGAGCTCCACCGAGGGCCCCAGTGGCAGCGTTCGCATGGCGGCCCCGCCCCATTTCGGCACACCCCTCACGAGGACCGTGGCCCCATAGGGAGCTCCACTGAAGGCCCCAGTGGCAGCGTTCGCATGGCGGCCCCGCCCCATTTCGGCACACCCCTCACGAGGATCGTGGCCCCATAGGGAGCTCCAGCGAAGGCCCCAGTGGCAGCGTTCGCATGGCGGCCCACGATCCCTCGTAAATTACGCTGCGTACGAGCCCCCAGGGCCCCGATCCTTTGTATTTTACGCTGCGCCCGCGCTCCAAGGGCTACGATCCTTTGTAAATTACGTTGCGTCCGAGCTCCCAAGTCCCCGACCCTTTATAAATTACGCTGCGCCCGCGCTCCGAGGGCCACGATCCCTCGCAAATTACGCGTGGTCCGCGCTCCAAACTCCACGATCCTTCGTAGATCATGCCGCGTCCGCGCTCTCAGGGCCTCCTGGGGCATGCTGGGGCGCCCAGGTTTTTCAAGTTTTGCAAAACAAGCGTTTCGCTCGAGACATCCTCGACTTTTCTCGAGCGGGGCACGCGCGAAACTCATTTTCCGCGCCGAATTCGATTTCACTTCGTATCTTTGTGAGGAGCACGGGGGTCCGCAGACCCCGTTATTTATCGAGGATCGAGGTGGGGGGTCAACTTTCCTCGAGCGGGCACGCGCGGAACGCATTTTTTCACGCCGACTTGGACTTTACATTGTTTTTATCCGCTGCTTCTCCCTGGAGAGGACTCCTGCAGGCAAAGCAAGGGCGGCGGCAATGCAGCCGCTGTTTTGGCCAAAGCAGCTGCGTGGATAGAAAAAGTCCAATACGAGCACTGAACATGATCCGCCCGACGTCAGCGCACTCTGCACCGCCGGGGCTCGATGCTAGGTGGCGCTACGTCCTTTTCGGCCTCCCGAGGGGCGCCACGACGCTTTACCACTTCCGCCACCAGCAGAACCTCTTGAAGCCGAGAAGCGAAATCTGATGCAGGGACGCGTCCCCAGGCTGTGATAATTCAATGCCTCTCCAGACCTGCGAGCCGCTGCCCCTGACCCAGGCCGGAGGAAAAAACGGCAAGTTGGCACCGGGGGAATTACAATAGTAAAAGAGAATTTTGGGACGGTGCCCTTTCCGGGAAAAAGGGGGGCAGGGGGGGAGGGGGGTGACGCGTTCTTTTTACGGGCCCTTCGTCAAGACAACCCTTCAGCAGCGTCCCTAAGGCCGGGGGGGGAATCAAGCGTCTTGTCGTTATTGCTGTTCCGCTTCCGTGCCATTCCGCCTCTGGGACTGCGGCCGTACGTGGCTTTGCGCGCCCCCAGAGGATGCACCGTGAAGCAGCTTCGGTGGGTGGGCGCGATGCTCGCTCTTAGCCGGCTTGTTGAAGGTGACTGTGCTCCCGATGCAGCGTGGGCTTCCTTTTCGGATCGGCGTTTTGCTTCCGTCGTTCAGCACGGCGGTCTCGCCCCAGCTAGTGCCATTTTTCTGGGTCCGAGCCACTTTTCCATTTTTTAGGGGGCCACATGCGAACCCTACCCCTACCCACCACGATTTCTAAGGGGGTAGGGGTAGGGTTCGCATGTGGCTCACAATTTCTGGGTCCGAGCCATTTTTTAATTTTTGTCGCCCCCCTCATTTATCCTCCTCCGCCTTCCCTTGGTCCTCCTGCTCCTCCCGCCCCTTTGCTCCAGCCGCTGCTGCTGCTGTTCGTCCTCGCCCCCCTCCTTCCTCAACCCAGTCCTTTTCCTCTCCCCCCCCCACTCAGGAGGGAACAAAAACACACAGACACAATTAATCTTCATTTCCCCAGAAAATATGGGAAACTATGGGAAGTGGGGGGAAAACAAAACCCCAGAAAGTATGGGGAAATATGGGGGATCCTGTTAATTGTGTGTATTGATTTGTGTGTCCCAGGGCCGATGGGGTCGTTTTTGGGGTCCCAGGTCCGCTGTGACGCGCGCTAGCGGATCGACAAACATAGGAGCCATTGGCAAGGATGTGTGGGATGGGTAGTCTGTCAGATATGGCGCGAGCGCGCCTAGCTTGTCCGTATTTTCTCATCCCTCTTTCCCCGCCCCGTCCTGAGGCGGTCCGCTTCGAGGCGACCATCCATAAACACGCGCACGGCATTCGAGAACCACTTGCAGTGCTCCTGCCGAGCGTTCGACGAAACCGAACCTTGCGGCCACGCGCTCAGCCGCGAAGTCTAAGGTTGGGTCGGACGAAAGGGGGGATCCCCAATGCATGGCCGCCTCCTGCGCTGAGAAGCGCTGGGGAAACCAGCTGCGTGTAGCTGATTCGCGAACCCCCGTCGCTATCCCCACCCTTCGTCCGTCGTTGTGCAAGATGGAGGAGGAGGAGGACGGCAGGAAGTACATGATCAGGATGATGAGGGTTGTTGTGGTGTTGGAGCGGTTGGTCAGAGCTCCTTTTTGAGTGTGATGAAGATCTTGTTGCAGTCGATGTGTACTATGTAGGTTGTGGTGCGACTTACTTTTTCAGTAAGCTGCATCGCAGTTTTTGCGTTGCAGCCATGTGTGCTCAAGCTTGCTTGTTTCGTTTCCTTCTGTGAACGTACGCCCGCGGTGGATGAGGCCCGCTGATCTCGCCCCGTTAGCGTCTGCCGGGTCGATCGCTTGGAATCCCGCCTGCCCGCTTCCACGTCCGCCCGCCTGGGCCGCCTGGCGAGGTCCGCTGGCCCGACCCGCCCTTTAGGGTCCGCCCGTCCGGCCCGCCCGTTGGGGCCCACCCCTTGGCTTGCCTGGAAGCCCGCCCGCCTGACGGGCCCGCCCGCCCAGCCCGCCACGAGGGGATCCGCCTGCCTGGTCCGTTCTTCGGGGCTCGCCCGCCCGCCGTGCCCGTCGGGGCCCGCCTGCCCGAGCCACCGGCTGGGGCCCGCCCGCCCGCCCTGCCTGTCCTGGCCCGCTCGCCCGATCCGCCAGTGAGGTCTTGGCCGTTTGCCCGCTCAATCCGCCTGTCTCATTCTGTCAGGGATTGCCCAGACATCGCAGGAGGCCGCCCGAAAATGGGAAGTCCATGGACGAAACGCGCGGGAGTCAAGGGTTTGCAGGTAGTTGAATGCCGCTCGAGCAAGTGAAGCCGATCAATCTTGACGCGTCGATGATGCAGAGTAAGGAGTGGATGAGGAGATCGCTGTCACTGTTGCCATCCCCGTTCTCCTCCTCCTCCGCGTAGTCGTCGCAAAGCTCTGGAAAGCCGCTGCTCCAGACCGATGTTGAGCTGTCGTCCTCCAGCGGCGGGGTGGGGTGAGTGGCGGACGGCTCTAGCCGCCTCGCCGTTTTTGTGGCCCTCCGCTCCCTCGGCCATGCGATGGCCGAGGTCGGAGCCTTTTGTTCTGTCGTCGGTGCGCCTGCTCTGCGGACTGCAAGGGCCAGGTTGGAAACCTTCGGCTCCTGTCTAAAGGGTTCTTGCGTGAGCCTACGACCTGCGCCAACCAACGGTCGAAGCTCGTTAGGTTCGAGCGCGGTCATCATCCGATTAGGAAGCAAGTGATGCGTTTCTCCTAGCAGGGCCACCCATGGGAAACTTGGACGCAATCGCTTGTTACCTCCCTCCCCTCATGCTCCTCCCTCATCTCTCCTCCTGCGGCGGGTGATGTCTGCATCCATTAAGCAATCGTGGTAACACCCAGAGGGTTACTTGTCAGTCCCTGGACAAGCCAGCGTGGAGCCCGGCACAGTACCCTGGCTTGCGGCCTGTCTCGTGAATACCTTGGCCTGCGACCCGGGTTGTCACGCCTCTCACGAGCTCAGGCGGAGAGCCCGGCAACCCCAGGAACCCCCACTGCGACACGATGCAGTCGGGTCGAGTGCTGGGCGCTGGAAGGGTGCGGTGGGGCTTGCCCGACAAGGGGGACAGACCTTGTGGGCGGATTTTTACTCGCCGCCACTACAGTCATCCATGATAGTAAGGATGGGGCAACTTTCCAAGGCTACCCTTGCATCCTTGCCCATTCGGTATTCGGCATCCTTCGGCATTCTGCTGCGCTCCGCACGGAAAACGTCAACATGGCGTTCCAAGGCCCTTGCATCCTTGCCGCGCATCCTCACCATCCTGGTCGAGTGTATGATAGGCCATGGGCGGCTGACCCGTGGGAGTGTTGTGCTGGGCGCCGTGGGGGGCCTCGCGCACCAAAGGCCCATTAAGACTTGCCTCGCCCGAGCTGGCCGGGCTGGCGGCCGCCCGCGGCGGGCGCCTCCCTGGCGCGGGCCGCGGGGGAGCCCCGCTCGCCGTGCCTCGGGCCCAGGCCGCGGCACCGACCGTGCGGAGGATGCGCGGCCGGCTCGCAGCTGCTCAGGTCGGGGCGGACGACGGGGGGCCCTGGAGCAGCGAAGACGCTGAGGTAAGGAACCGTTTGGGTTGCGAAGATGCCGAGACGCCGCTCCATCTCGCACTGCTGTTTCACACTTTCACGCGTTGCGATATTTCCGCACCTCGCCGGTACTGTCGGCCTGGCGCCCTGCCGGGGCAGGCGGACTTCCCGCCTCCCCACGGGCCGTTCTGCTCTGCTCTGCTCTGCTCTGCTCGCTGTTCCCGAGGTCCTTCCGTGGCCGTTGCTCCAGGCCTCCTCGTGCACGCAGGCGCCCTTGGCGCCGAAAGAGGGGCTTCGTTCCTTCTCAAGCGTTCCTTCTTTCAGCAGCCCTTCTGCAGATCAGCATCGGCCTTGGTGATACATCCCTGCCCGAAGTCCAACCTAATCCAGTCAAGTCTGGACGAATCCCCCTCACTCTGGCCTGACTCGTGGCGTAATGGGATCCGCAGCGTCTTCATTTGGCTTAGCAGTACCCAGAATCTTCCACGAAGACCTTCAGGAGTGGTCTCCTGGAGCAGAGGGTGAGGCGAGGCATGCGATGGGGAATGGGAGGGGGTATTTGCGTCAGCTGCTGCGGGCAGCTGGCTTCGGCTCCGCCGCCAGGCCCCTTCCTGGAAGACCTGGCCGCCTCCGGCGCCGGGAAGCGCAGGGGAAACGAGCTGCATGCAGCTGATTCGCTGACCCCCCCTCTGATATCACCCGCCCCGCTCAACGCCTCCCACGCCTTCACGTTCGGTCCGTGCCTTGCCGACTCCGTAGCGACCCCGGCGCCAGCGTCCAAGGTTGAACCCCGCCGGTGGCACCGGAATCGGCCGACGTGGAGCGATTTGCACCGTCGGAAGGCTGCGATGGTTCCGGCTTGCACGATCCACGCGGCGTCAGAAGTCAACACCGAGGTCACCACAGGAGCATGCCAGGGCCGCCTGCGGCGGGGGCCGCGATGTCGGTTCGGTGCGATGCGCAGGCACCGACCCGGGCCAGCCGGATCCGGGCGCGGCGATCCGATCTCGACTCGTTGTCGTAGACGATTCGCTTGAGGTTCGATCCGTTTCCGAGCGTATCCCGACTCTGCAGTTCGGTCCATGTCGGTCCTGCCTGTCGTGTACGTCAGGGTCAACGTTCTGGGGGGAAGAGGCTCAGGGTGGGATGCGTCGACCCTCGATAACACACTG